ATTGGCTAAAGAAAACGAATCCTGTCAGAACTACAGACTGCAGGTAGTAGTTAATCATTATGCATGTAACAGACCAGCTTCATGGCCCCAGTCTTAATGTGAGACAAGCAACCAAAATTAAGATTAACATAGTCAGAGTTTAAAACTCTCCACAGTACAATCTACCCGCTAGAAAGGAAAAAAAGAAAATCTCTGAGGGATGAAAACGCAAGTCACGTTTCACTAGTTTATGATTGTGTTTGGCCTGTCAACACCGAATTTCCTGCTGTCTGATGAAGTACAATAGCAGTCTCATTTCATCGTTGTGATTGGCTCTTCCCACCGTCGGCACGCGAAGTCTCCCCTGGGAACCGTTCTAATTATAAATCTACTCAGGAAAGGGTTGACTCCAAGGGCTAGTATGGGAGATGGAGGCTCCATTTGATGGGCTGCTTACTATCTTCAAGACTTTCTTGTTATTTCTTATAGGGATTTTGCCAATCATTTTAGCTTGCAGTGTTTGCTTCGCTGTTTGTTTTGTTTTTTCTTCCCACCCAGCATAACTTTTCCAGTGCTGTGAAGACTCGAAAACGAGTGTTGGGAGTCCTGTGGTTTAAAGGGGAATGGGTCTGAGAACTGGGTCGAAACCTGAGAGGGCCGAAAGGGACTGGTGAGCACAACGTTTAAAAATGGCGGAGGATGTAGGGTGATGAAACTCCAACCTCTATGTTGTTCGCCTCCAATTTCTTCATATATGGCATCCCAGAGCCTTACAACGTTTAAGAACAATTATTTAATGCGATGAGTGAACGTCAGGCTATTCCTGAGTGCCCCTAGCGTCAAACAGCCCCTCTCTAACTAGGTGTTACATCGACTCTTGTACTGCATCCACTGGACATGAGAAAAATTAGGTTTCAAGGTGAGATACTAGGAATAACTTGGTTGTGTGTAACGTGCGAATGCTTTAGCAATAGAAAACGTTTTCCGTGTTTGCATAGCCTGATATAAACACGAGAGGGGTTGGGAGAATTCGAGACAGTTATGCAAACCCTCGACTTCGTCTCGGGTTTGCATAACTGTCGAGAATCTCCCAGTCCCTCGAGTGTTTTTACTCAGGCTATGCAAACACAGGAATAAAAGTTTTCTATTGCTTTTATAAAGTAACTCTCCTGAGAAAAAACGCAAACTCTTTGTTACGGTCCTGATTAAAAGAGAAATTCTTACCAGTGGCAAAGTCTTATACACGAAGTCTTGCACGCGTAATCAGTTCTTGTTTTGCAAAAAGATGCTTTCCAAAATACGGATTTTTCTCGCTTGAAATATCAGCTTAAGTGAAAAAAAATTGACACACCTTTTTTGTAACGATTTTCCAAGTTTCAGCCGACGAAGGAATACGGGTAAATAAAGTAAACTTGTCGAGTTTTGAACTTGAAAACTTTTTCAAATTTGTGCTTGCGTAATTAGCGTGCGAAAAGCAAAACATCTTGACGCCACAACCATGTTTACATACTCTCATGCAAACACTCCTCTTGGCCAATCAGAGCGCGCATACCATCTTAGTTATTTTATAAATTCCAATGTTAAATGCAATGCTACTAGCCGTTTGGCGTGAATGTCAAAACTATAGCATGAAATAAATCAGAAAGCGAAAAAGGCTAATAAGGTTCGGACACTTCTTCATGTATATTTAAGACGCACACGTATTTATTTGTCCAAAACGGTCAACTTCAGTTGGATTTTGCCTTTCCTCGTGACTGAAAAGGTAAGCTGGACTCTTCTGTCTGACGAAAAATCAAGTCCTAACGATGGCCATTTTTAGAGGTTCCTCAACAAGATTCCCAATCCTGCCATTGCAGTAATTATCTTCATTAATCCCATTTTCCTGACAATTGTTATTGACTAATCCCCGTCCTGAAATTACGTTCAAAAATGTGCCTTGTAAGAGTTCCAGACTTCCTCATGTTAGGAGAATCAGGCAATCATACATGTAAATGTTGTGGGATAACAAGGTGGTACACTGCATGATCAAAATAGGCGTGCGATAGGGTCAAGAAAGATGTGGTTAATGATGAGGTACCAATTTTTATTGAATGCGTTTTAAGAAGCGATAACCAAATTCTTAACTGAGTTCGATTTGAAGAAAGTGACATCCTTTCGTAACATTTCCACGAAAGTGACGAGAAACTGATGTAGATTCCTTAGTCCTCTGGGGCTCGCTCAGCAGTAGATTCTTGCACCCAGTCCCAGTAATTGTCTATGCATAAATTTTTCTGCCTTAAGAAAAAGTAGATAGTAGTTTTTCTCTCTTTTAAATTTATAAGTAATGGTAACAGGACTGGGTGGAGTCCAATTCACGCTTTTTGTAAAAAATATATGTCAAAAAAGAAAGAAGGGAAAAGAAAAAAGAATGACCCTGTTTTATTCTTCAGGGTTAACTTGCCAGAAACAAAGACTGAACTGTCATTCAAGTCCTTTACAACTGGGATCCTCTTTCTTCCCTTTGTTTTATGACATTTTTGTTTCTGGAACCCAAACTCAGGGTTACAAGCTCGTTGTGAAATATGCTATACTTTCTCATTGGTATATCAACATGTTAATTCCACTTGCGGATATGTTTTTCAAGCTTCGACGGGCCTATGCAGCCTTGTATTGTGGCCTTATAGTTAGCCAATCATTTTTTGATAAAATTTGATGTATGAAAAATTGCGTGAAACTACTAATTTATGCGTAGAATTATTGAACATGTAGGCGACAAACAAAGGGGAACTTGGTCACGTGGAACAAATTTGCGTTTTCCGTTTGACGTAAGAGTGATGCCTAACCTCTCTAGTACCCTGTCTGATCGTGAATGACTCAGAGACCCCAAAAAGTATCCAAAAAATTTCCAGGGAGAGCATGTTCCCAGACCCCCCTAGAAGCTTGCGCCTTCGGCGCTCATTTAGGAAATCGGTCAGTATTTGTCTTAGATCCGGCCCGCGCCTGATAAAGTTCGACTTGTGTGGCCGAGGTTTTTAAAAGAGACCCTTCTCAAAGGCGATCCAAAACCGAACATGTCTTAGAAAAAAAATAGCGATTAATTTCAGATTCAACTGATAATCTTACTGTCACTTCAAGATATAATATAAAAGGGGTATGTATAATTAATTTTAAGGACAACTTAGTAGAAAGTGAGTCGCGGGGGTCTCCATGACCATTAAAGTGTTTGTGTAGGCTTTAAACTTATCAGACTATACGTATATGCTGATGTATTAACGTTAAGCCACAATGCAGCTATAAACGTAATTTTCGTATACATTATTGTGTCATTATGAACATTAAGATAGTTTGCATGTCTTCTCAAAGTAGAGTTTTTTGTATTTATTTGTTTGTATTGTAAAGACTGACATATAGTAGCTTATAGTAAAGAAATATTAAACTGATGTTGTGTTTTTGTTGAATAAATCAAGGAAACGTCCAAGTAATTCTCCTGTCATCAAGCAGATCTCTTGTCATGAACTATTAACCAATTTTATTAAATATTTTGAATTATGTTTAGTAAAATATTTGTATTTGCTATAGAATGCTGAATTCGACGCAAAATTTAACTGGTCTCCAGCTGGGGGATATTGACCAGGGCGCCCGGCCGGGGGTCTCAACAAAATTTCCGCGAGGGGACTCCGCCCCGAGGTCAAACCCCTTACCCTTTTATACACCAGTTTTGACAGGAAAAGTACCCCTTTCGAATCACATTTTGTTAATGTAACAAATGATACCCCCTTCACGTACAGAAAGTTGTCTGGTCTTTTCCACGGCTATAAGATACACCTTTTAGGTCCTTCCGCAGACCGCAATGACAGATTTCCCTACCTTATTTCATAAATCAACCAGTGAAACCGCTACTCTTTCATATACAGGAATCCATAAGTCCACTTTTAATCTAGGGTGTCTACTGAAATATTGATCCTCGGAATTTGCAGTTTTCAATATTTTGTGAAGTACAAAGTAATCTGAAAGTTTTATAATCAGCTTGTCCTTGCTTTCCTTGCATTTTTTTTTCACATTGCCTTTTCTTACACAGCTACTATTGTTTTATCAGCCATGGAGTTTTAGGAGTTTAATAGACATAGAGTCAGCTAGTCGTTGCTCTTTTCAGTTTATAAGTCCTGGTTATGCATGGGCTTAGCATTGCTAAGTCTAATAAAATACTCCCAAGTATCAATCAATAGGCAGAAAGTTGGGTCTTGGTTTGGGTGAACTGATTAAACTGATTCCTTGGTTGTCACGGCGATTTTGCTAACCAGTTGGCGCGAATGTAGAAAATCTTGTAAGTCCCAGATACCAGTCAGCAAAACCTACAAACCTGAAAATGGTACTTTTGAGCTTTTAATGACGTTTAGTTCTTATTATTGACCTTATTCGAACCTTATACTTCGATTGCGATAATCTACAGAGCGAAGCTACTATTTTCAAGGAAACAATGCTTTCAAATGGCTCTAAGAATAAACTGCAGCTGATCAGTGAAAACGCCGTGATATTGGTCTACCGGTATCGAAGTTGCTCGCTCCTGTTTTTATGTTAGTCGCGGGAAGGGGACTCTTTTTCCGCCTTGCTTTCTATCTTCAAGACTTTCGTGTCATTTCTTTGAGGGATTTTGCCAATCATTTTAGCTTGCATTTTTTCCTTCGCGGTTTGTTTTGTTTTTTCTTCCCACCCAGCATAACTTTTCCAGTGCTGCGAAGACTCGAAAACGAGTGTTGCGAGTCCTGTGGTTTAAAGGGGAATGGGTCTGAGAGGGTCGACACCTGCGAGGGCCGAAAGGGACTGGTGAGCACAGAGTTTAAAAATGGCGGACGATGTAGGATGATGAAACTCGAACCGGCCTCTATGTTGTTCGCCTCCAATTTCTTCATATATGGCATCCCAGAGCCTTAAAACGTTTAAGAACAGTTATTTAATGCGATGAGTGAACGTCAGGCTATTCCTGAGCGCCCTTCAGCATTAAACAGCCCCTCTGTAACTCGTTTTATTCGCTACGAACATCTTCAGGAGGTGTTACATCGACTCTTGTACTGCATCCACTGGACCTGATAAAAATTAGGTTTGAAGGTAAGATACTAGGAATACCTTGGTTGTGTGTAACATGCAAATGCATTGCAATGTTAAATGTAATGCTATATATGCAACTAGCCGTGTCCGTGTGGCGTGAATGTCAAAACTAAAGCATGAAATAAATCAGAAAGCGAAAAAGGCTATAAATAAGGTTCGGACACTTCTTCATGTATATTTAAGACGTACACGTATTTATTTGTCCAAAAAGGTCAACTTCAGTTGGATTTTGCCTTTCCTCATGATTAAAAAGATAAGCTGGACTCTTCTCTCAGACGAAAAATCAAGTCCTAACGATGGCCATTTTTATAGGTTCCTCAATAAGATTCCTAATCCTGCCATTGCAGTAATTATCTTCATTAATCCCATTTTCCTGACAATTGTTATTGACTAATCCCCGTCCTGAAATTACGTTCAAAAACGTGCCTTATAGGAGTTCCAGACTTCCTCATCTTAGGAGAATCAGTCAATCATACATGTAAATGCAGTGGGATAAAAAGGTGGTACACTACATGATCAAAATAGGTGTGCGATAGGGTCAAGAAAAATGTGGTTAATGATGAGCGTAATGTACATGTCATAAGCTTGTCCAGGGGTAGGACCCTGGGCAAACCAGGGGAAAAATGGTGGATGAGTTGGATTGTCTGCCCTAAGTGAGGGGGAAATTCCAGACGTTATTTTTAGGTTTGAATGAAGGGGTGGAGGAAATTGACATTTTGTTAAATTTTGGAAGGCAACCAGGTGAACATCATGAGAATTTAACACCTTACCCAACCCATAATTTGGCAAATGATAATACAGGTCATATAAGTAGACCCTGGCCTGCGTGAATCTGTCTGAAGGTTTTCTTTTATGATTTTTTAAATGAAAAATATTACCTTGCTTCCCCGAGCATAAAATAAATGAGTCAAATTTGATCGCCAACTATTATAGCTTGCGTAGCTGGAGGGACCAAAGTTTAAAAGTGTTCCTTGATGTCCCTGCATGTGGCTTTTCCCCATTCCTCTTATAGTTTTATAGGCTAATGACCACAGGTTCTTTTATAACTGTCATAAGTACTAGTTAAATCCCACCAGCTACACAGGCATAATAATGTTCTCTCTCAATTAAAAGAAACCCATTTATGAGGTGGTTATCATGGGGTTTTTCATTGAGGAGCACTTGAGCCTTGGAGGCAATTTTATTCTTAAATTTGTTTCACCCATTTTTCAATCCGCCTCATTGACACGGGGTCCTATCCTACTTGCAAGCTGATGACATGACTCTGTATAATGATGAGTTAGAAAATAGAAAATTGATAGGCTACTGTAGAAAAGAGAAGAGGAAAACAGGCCTTGTATTTCTGCCGATCATTTTTATTAGAATTATGTTTAATATTCCTTCAAGAGTTAAGAAGAAGTGGTCCCAATGTACGGGTCTTTTTACATGTTGCTCATATGGTAAAGCATTGCAGCACTATACATGTAAATAGAGTGGTTATGGGTTCGAATTCCATTGAAGCCTTGAAATTTTTGGGCTTAATTAGCAATTGTTATTTGCATTTAAGAAAAAGACCTTATAAAAGCATGCCTTACATAATTTTGTTAATGCATCTAGTTTCACACAATAGCTTTATTTATTATATGAATGTTTTTGTTATTAGTTACAGTGTAATGATGGCAGTGGGAAGTTGCCAGCGTACAGAGGTCTAGTTGATGCAGTGCAGTCCATTGTCAGAACAAGGGGTTTAAAGGGGTTGTACCAGGTTAGTACATTGGCAACATACTTAACCCTTAGTTTAGTGATTTGTTTGGTCGTTTTTGTGCCTGATAGAGCAATGCAATCTTTCAGTTTAAAAGATTAAGTTAGTAAGCTTAGCAGTGTCTTCAGGGAGGACAGATCTACCTCATTTTGGGAACAATCCTTCCATAGAACTTTACGCACAAAACTTCACATGCTTTGGGTACTAGAAATCCACTTCTTATTACACCATTCACCACTAACTTTTTCCAGATAAGATTTCTCCTGTTCCTGGAAAGTAAGCCAGCTAGTGTAATTATAATTATTGTCATGGTGTTTTCTCATTTCTTTTCTCCCAGTTGCTTAAAGCCTGGCTTAGTGAGAAAAAAAAAAATAAATAAATAAATAATAAAATAGCTAGAAATAACAAAAAAGGACAAAAAAATTAAAGGAATGAGTACAAGTTCCTTTTTTTCTTTCAGGGTCTGACACCGAAAGTATGGGGTAATAAGTCTGTGTGGGTACTGTACTTTTTCAGGTAAGTTATTACAACAGCGAACAAAACAATATTTTGTATAGAATTCATATTTTAAACCTTCATTAGAATTCATGTATTTAAATACACATCGCTGAGAATAGCTGTAGAACAGCTATGAAGGTTCTTTTCTTTCTATTTTCTTCTCTCCTATCTGTTTGAGTTCCTACTGCTGCTATTTTCTTCTCTCTTAGGAAATTAGTACATTAATATTTTGTACATTTTGTGTACAGTCAAACCTTTCCACAATGGCCCACCTTGGGGACAGAAGAAAGTCATCCTCGGAGACCCAGGGGCAGTCAGTCGACCCGACTAACTGCCCCTGGGTCTCCGAGGATGGAAGAAAGTGGGCCTTGTAGAGAGATGGCCATTATGGGGAGGCCTGTAGGAATTGTAATATAACATTTTTTTAGGGAGCACAACATGTTTACAGTGTTATGTTCATGCTTACTGTTCCATAATGATAATCCAGTCATATATAACATAAAATATAGCGATAGAAAGATACACCAAAAAATTGAATAAAGTTTTGAATGAAAATGTTGACGCGACAAAACAGCAAGATTCGAAAAATTTGCTTAAGTACATTTGTATCATAGCTATTAATATGCTTACGGTAGCAGTATGAATGGGGCGTGTTTAAACTCGAAATGGCGAAGTGAAAAAAAGTATTTACAAATAATATATATTTTTCTTTGACCGGGTTTCCTCCCTACTATTCGGTCGGCGGAGTTAACACGCGCATTCTTGACCCGAAGTCTACACCATTGTGCAAGCCATAAGATTTGAAGGCCTGTTGTCATGCCTGGTGTGCGTGGGCAAGCTCATCATACGCGCCGAAATAGCTCTTCCGACGGGAAATTAACTGCAGTGTCATCAGAGACGTCGAGATGGCGGAGCGTATTACAAAGAAAAGCTACCGTCAACTTTAACGTACGTAAGGATGAAGAAGTATAAGTCCAAAGTCAAAAATTGCTAACAGTTCTACAAATAAACAGGGTATATAATTTCGTGTGAGTCTATCCTAAATATGAACAGGGTATTGCCTGATCTGATTTGTTTAATGAAATTTATTTGCAAACAAAAGCAATAACTGTAACGTGAAATTTGCTCTATTGCAATTGCCAATAAATGGCTTTAAAACAAGACGGCGTGCAGAAACTGACAAAACCGAGAAGTCCCTGGGGAGAGGAGAGATCCTTAGTACGAGAGAGAACAAGTGAGTGCGATAACTGCGATGGCACAACAAGATTTGTGAGGTCTTGCATCAGAGTTTTGCCGGTTCATGGAAGGCAAAGACATAACAACTGGACACGACAAAATAGAGGAAGTCATTTGTTTTTACTCTTTAGGAAAGTCATTTCGCCATTTCGCTATTTCGTCATTTCTTCATTTCGTGTTTTTAACACGCCCGTGTAAATGAAACACAATCAAAATATGATTGCCGCGATTTATCATCAACGTACCATAAGTTTTATGACCATTCTTGACTTTTTCATCAGTCGCTAAAATATAGAAGCATGTTAAGAGTATCATGGAAGGAACATAAAACCAATAAAGAGGTTTTAAAGATGGCAAATACAACAAGGTCATCATTACCAATAATAAAGAAAAGAAAATGCCAGTATTTTGGACACGTATGCTACGCCAAAAGTGACAAAATATCAAAGATGTAACTTTATAATTCAAATCCACCAAATTACTATCAAGATCGATAAAATTGACATCAATTTGCTTTTTGAATGTGTCACGATTGTAGAATTTAATGTCAATTCCCACGTGTTTCATGTCATGTACACGTTATGACAGATTAGTAGGGTGAGGCACCTGTTTACTAAACCTGTCTTGTCAACTATTTTGAATTCTCTTATTTTTAGTAAACTTTTTTACTGTTCCACTGTCTGGGCAGGCACCTCTAAGCAAAATCTACAGAAGTTACAATATTATCAGTGCAAAACTTCGCCGCCCGCGTATTAACAGATACTAAAAAAGTTTGATCACATCTCGCCTGTTCTTCGGGGATTAGGGTGACCCTCCATCAAAGATCAGCTATTAGTCCGTGATACTACGCAAAAAATACAAAAAAAAAAATTAAACAAAATTGTTAATGGCCTCGCTCCGTTGTACTTGCGTAGTAAACTCAGTAAGCGATCAGACGCACATAACTACAACACGAGGAAAAAAGAGACAATCTAAATCTCCCTCTGTACAGAACAGTTACTGCGCAACGGTCATTTTACTATCGCGCTGTAAGTGCCTCGAACTCTCTGACCGCAGACACTAGAAACAGCCCGTCACTATGTACCTTTAAGAGGAGCGTCAAACGCGAATTGCGGGAGCAGACCCCATACGTTAAATAGTTAATATTTGATTTAGTTTAGATCTCCAAAGAGATGACGTAATTGTACGCGCATAATTTAGGCTTTTAGTTTTGTACCAAGATTGTAATTAATTTAAGCTTTTTCTTCTTATCCCCTTCTTTCTTAGCATTTGTAAATTAACTTCAGAATAGCCCTTTGGGAGAGTTAATAAAATTTATTGTATTGTATTGTATGATATAACAGGAATCAAGTTCAAACCAAACTCCTCTGCCCCCTTACACAGTGTCACCCCTAGTTGTCTGTCTGTGATGATTTATACACAGGGTTGAGAGGATTGGGTGACACCCAGTATCCATCTTATAAGTTAAGTTGATGTATTTTCCTCCCTTTAGGAACTGGGACACTAACTGTGACAAATCCAATATGGGTTATCAAGACTCGCCTCTGTCTTCAGTACACTGGTTCACCAGCTGCCGTTACTCAAGCACCGCAATACAAAGGGATGATGGGTAAGAAAGAAGTAAACTTGGCCAACTTAACTTTCGCAAAGACTTATGGGACTGTTACCAGGGACAGGGAAAAAACTGGCTAATAGCTGACTGGCGCGTCCCCAGTAACAATCCCAGAAACAATTTCGGAACGCATTTCGGCTCCAGTTCTCTGGTCGTTTCTAAAGTGGTGAATGAACGGTCGGTTCACGTGTTGGGTGAATGGTTTGAAAAATTCAGGCTTAGTAAATTTCATTCCGGAATAGGGTTTACTATTTGTTTTACAAATCAGTTCCACTTACCGAAAAACAGCCGCGAAGGCCTGAAACTGGTATCAAAGATACGTTTTATAACAAATGTAACACGAATGTTCGTTTGGAATATTTCGTCCGGAAAAACAGGACCACCTTTTCAGATGTTCCGTTGCTCCCGGAAATTTTCCAATAAAGGGACACGGAAAGCCCTTTTTCATTTACTTGTTGTAGTGGTAAAATAACGAGTTCCTCCTATTACAGTTATTTGTCTGACACAATGTCTGTGTGACCTTGATTTACAGAGCCATAGATCATACATGTATTTGTGTTTATTATAAAATCATTTCCTAATTCTTACTTTTTAGATGCCCTTTTAAAACTTTGAAGACACGAGGGACTCCGAGGATTATACAAAGTAAGTTTGCCATGCTAGGTAATGTTGCTTGAGATAAACGACGTCCTTATTACGACATTTACGCAATCACGATGACTAGGGGAACAAGAACGTTTAGAAACAATTACAGGTTTTATGGTGGAAAAAGCAACAACTTTGCACAGTTTCTTGAACATTTCTTTGCCGCTACCGCACGACTACGACGTAAAAAGTGCCTAATTTCACGGTTTGTGAGGGCTGTAAACGAGCGATGGAGATTTTCTTTTTTCTGTCGGATAGCGCTATCCACCAGATAATACATTATCCAGAAAATGGGTGTAAGAAAAACTAATTCCGCCAACTAGTGGGTAAGGATTTTTCTGGTGTATAGCGTTATCAACCTTAGGAAAAGAAACTGGGGTCTGGTGGATAGCGTTATCAACCTTTTGAGCAACTAGAGCACGACTCAGTGCAAATGGTGCAAATTACAAAATCAGCCCACTTGAAATGTTTTATCGCGATGAATGTCAGCTACATGAACACGGTATTTTGTTCAATAGGGTTACGTCCCCGGACTGTTTGGTGTGTCACACGGTGCTCTCCAGTTCATGGCTTATGAAGAACTTAAGAAAGGCTACAGCCGTTACTTTGGTACACCAATCAATAAAAAATTGGTAAGTTAACAAGTCAGTCTTAAGTGGTTGGTCACATTGATCATAACTTAAGTTTCGCTCACGAGCAAGGATGTACAATTGTCAGTACAGAAACTATAGATTTTCATTATCACAACAGGATGTGATTGTGTGATTACCAAGCATACTGTTTTTGCATTCTCTGCTTGAGAGTGTATTTCTGTTTGTTGCTGCTTATTTTAAGAATGTGAAGATCTAGCAGTTTGCTAAGAAAAGTGATACCGACCTAATGTAAGCTGAATACTGTTAAATTACACGGCTTAGTTTGTAAAGGGTATGGCTGTTGACCCCTTTTTGGAGTGAAACAGAGTAAGCTTTTCCTCTCTAAAACAAGGCTCTTGGATATGTTATGTTTCTTTCTATCACTCGTCTCTTGAAAGCTGACGTAAGGCAGGGCAAATCACGTAATTTGGTCTGAGGTAGGGTTAGGCTTTCAGGAAGCATGCTGCACACTCCCACCGTAATTTTCAAAAGTACCCCCTCCCCCGCTGGACCAGTACCTTTGTTTTCTGTAAAAGGCGCATCCTCACGAGAAAAATTGTGGAGCTTTACTCGCTGATGTATATGATACATGTAACCTTTGAACACCAAGAACATGATTTCGTAGAAATTAATTCTCCAACTACAGTTGTAAGGTACGAACAAACCACAATCAATGATTTCTAATTGATTTTCCTTAAATAGCACTGCTAAATTTTAAAACATTGGTCCCTTCTTTACCGACCAGTCAACTTGAAATATTCCTAAATATTGACTCTGGCATGTCTCGATAGGCTACCAGCAGTCTCTCTCTCTGCCAGAATTAATGGAGCTGTTCACTTATAGTAACAGGTCATTGAATGATAAGAAAACTGTTAAAGCCCTTCTTCAAGGTGTGAGCAAACCATAGTCAATGGTTTTTGAGCCCTGTCAAACTAGAAACATCGGCCCGGCCTTTTGAAACTCTCCTTCTATCACGATCTATCTTTAGCTTAAGACACACCTTTTTAGGGAACTTTGTGTTTATACGAGAAGGTGGGCTGACCAGCTTACCGAGATCTCGGCTCGAGCAACCGGGATCTCGGCCTCGTCCTCTCATATGTACATGTATTTAGCTTGACAGTCAGCTAATTGGGGTCACTAACCTACGTGCTGGCACACTAATCTATTGAATGACTTTTAAATTAATGATCTTACCTAAAATCTAAAACTATACAGCTGTTTCGAGAAAGGTTGTCGGAAAAAGTGCACGCGACAATCCCGGGTGGTTTTGAGTTCACTGTTCTTCAAAGAAATTTGAAAAAATGGCACAAGAGGCCATGGACTTATGTTTGAAAGTGCTTAATGAAAGCAACAAAACTAAGTTCTACAGCTACAGTGTCAGGAACAGTGTATTCATCATATCCCATATTACCTTTCGGTATTGTCGCGTGCACATTTTTCTCCGACAACCCTTCTTGAAATAGTTGTATACAAATGTCCACGACTCAAAATTTACACGGGTCACAGTAGGAACTTCTCCGGATTACATGTAGCAAGTAGAAAGTTGTTTTTATATCAAGACGACGCTAAAACAGACCCTTAGTATGCATTGTTTCTTCCTCCTTCTAGAGTTCAACAGAGTACTTGATAATGGCATCATTATCAAAGATCTTCGCTGCCACGGCGACGTATCCGTATCAAGTAGTCAGATCAAGACTACAGGTAAACAGACCTCCTACTTATCTCTCAGTGTAAGGTTATGTCCACAAGATTAATTCCAACAGGCACTTTTCAGCTAGTGATTCACGTGGTACAAAACCGCTATGCTGGAGAGTAAGGGACACACTGAGACAAGACAAACAAAAGGCTCACTAGACTTTCTCAAAGTCCGTTTCCGGTATTTGCTTGTTTGGTGGTCAGTTAGCGTTCGTCTTGTTATTTCTCTTTCGCTCGCTTCGCGCAGTGGACTTGTGGTAAGTCTAAATGCCTACGTCATTTAAAATCGTAATTCAGGAGCGGATCTAGGGGGAGGGTGCAGGGGGTGAGCACCCCCCACCCCCCCGAGATGACCTGCGGTTTTCTAATACGACTGGTATTCTGCAAAAAAGAAAAAAAAAAGAGCAAGAGGCGAGTGCACCCCCTCCTAAAAAAAATCCTGCATCGGCCCCTGTAATCCCCTTTGTTTGTCTTCTCCCAGTGCGATTCTTGCTCTCCAGCATTACGTTTTGTTTTGTTTGTTTTTTTTTTTTGGCACCACTTGAATGGCTAGCTGCAAAGGGCCAATTAAGTTTATGAACGCATACAAACTTACAGGTGTTTTTCCCTATCGACAGAGTCTGGGTTGAAGTCGTAAGAGCAGTCGTTAAAACCCCCCAAAGTCAAAAGAGCGAGGGAGTTGTAATCAGGACGTTACCGTTTTGCTCCGACTCTACCCACTATGACAGCAGCATGCCCAGCCACCCTTTGTATCCTATTCTTCCCAAAACAAAAGAAAACTCTGTGCGCCTCCGAGTTCCAAGCAGCCAACTCCCTAGGGGCTACTACCCAGCGCTTTAAAAATAGTTTCATCAATACGCTCTTTATTAAAAACAACGTAGCAATCTAATGTTAAGTTGCTGTTGTTGTTGTTGTTTTTTTTAATGCTTATGTTAATATTGTATACAGAATTTAAAGTTTTGTACTCTTTTGGCTTTTTAACTGATTTTAAGTTTTGGAAAATGTAAGTTTTATATTAGTTTAGCTTGAATGTATTTTTGCTTAAACAAATAATAGAGACTAAAGACTTTTAAAATACGCCGTTGCTTACGATCTAATGCGAGAAACCAAACTGTCCGAAAATTTTAAAATCTTTAGAATGCGTTTTGATTCACCTTGAAACGGCTAGTTGTGGAGCAAGTGTCAAGAAAAAGTTCACCCTAGTATTTATTTTAAATACAAAGTAAAAAATGTTCAGTTCTTAAAGCTCCCTCTTCTTTTTATACAGTTTTAAGCTAAGTTATTCATCAGAGCTCATTTCCTTTATAGCAATGTTTTTTTGGTTTGTTTTGTTTTATTTTGTAGAATCAATACACGATGGCCGAATACAATGGAGCAGTCGACGTTATCCGTAAAACGTTCAGGTGAGATGAAGGACTCGCTGCGCCGATTTTCTTTTTTATTGAAAGGAGTTTTTGAAAGTGAAATTTTCCAGCCCTCCACGATTTATACCTTAAACAGTCGCCTTAAAGGTCTTAAAGAGACAGCAGAGTGGCATGTTCTTTTGATAATGAACTCTGTGACCGGCCGGAATTTATACCTGCTCCTCCAACCTGCTTTATTTGGCTGAAATAAGGCTCATACGAGAAACAGACAAACCAAACAACACACAAGAATAGCCATGGAAAGTTGAAGTGATAATAGAAAATGATAACTGTAGTTTGACCTGGTTATAATGGTCACCCTCGACCGATATGTAAGAAACTTGCCGCCTAATGAAGGTGGTCGCTCAATAAAATATCACAAAAATTACCCACTGGGTGTGGCCGTCGAAACGCAATTTATTGATAGTCTTCAATCAAACTGTAAAGCAATCAACGTCCTTTCAGGCGAACTATACCAGGGCGACCCTGATCTGTATTGATCTTTCACTTTCTATTCTTTCAACAAAGTTGCTGGCTTGTAACCGTAACGGGGAAACAAACTGACCATTATGATAAAGCACTATCCGTTATCCTGCCGGCCAACCAGACAGTGTGTGCGATCCCTGACGCTCACACCGAAATGTCTCATTCCTTCATTCTCTTACATTTACGGGTGGCCGCTAGTACACACAGACAAAATAACAAGAAAGGCAAAACATGGGCTGCAAAGGGGTGATTGAGGTCGTTTAATAAAGGTGTCCACTTGTTAAAGATGACGATTACAATGTTTGTACTATATACAGGGAAGTTCGGAGCTTTGAAAACAACTCGCTGATACAGATAAAACGAACAACTAGACAAAACGTATAGGAAAGACACATGAAAAAAACAAACAAACAAACATAGTAAAAGGCACGAGACAAACGTTGTTTGTGATTATGTTTGTTTGTTTTTGTTTTTACAGAGTGACTCCAGCGTGTGCTCTGACATTCGTGGTATACGAAAACGTCATCCATTTTCTCATGCCGTCCAGCTAACTTGAATAGACCAATGACTGATATATTCTGCTGCTTGACACGTCTCTTACCCATTTACACTCTCATCAATATTGTTTAAGGTGGAACTGGGTTTCCTGTGTTTATATGGAAAGAATTTCAAACGTGTGGCGTTTCTTCAACAACCGACGTAGCACAGCTTGATACATGTATATTAGAGAATATAACGACCAAGCCGAGGCTACTCCAGTTCTATGCCGCCCTTCCATCCCCCCACAAGCTGCGCGAGGTTTTGCCAAACACGTATTTCTAGTTCTTTTCCTGTAACGCCTGCATGCCGTGGCGAACATGCGGGCATAGCGAAAAAAGGACTCTTCCACACTAATTCGCTCTGATAAAACCTTAGCTTTTCTTAACTTTCGCTGGCAAACTCCCATCAAGAGTTCTGTGTCTATACTTGGCCTTTTAACACATTCTTGGACCTGCGAGTAGTCTGCAAGCAAGTTCTTCCGGGAGTGTGGGGCTGGGCAAGGAAAAGGGGAAGGAGAGCTTGCACTGCCGTCTCAAAAATTTGAATTCCGCTCCCAGAACCCCCCTATGGCTCCTCTGGTGTTGAGCTGTCAAAATCTGACCAATCAGATCTTCCCATTTTCGCTTCCCCATCCCCGCACCTCCGAAAGAGCCTACTCGCAGGCAACCGTACGTACAAAGCTTTCCTCTATCCCATCTGTAAAGGTGTCACAAGCTCTGACGTCAGCGTTTTTGAGAACCCTCTTATTTCCCCGTCCTCACTAAAACGATTAGCTTTAGTTTTTTTTTTAAAGACTCCGAGTAAAAATATCTACCTTGTCAAACGAAAACGCATTAAGGTGGAACCTCGATTTAACGAAGGGCCAAGGAACTGACAACATTTGTTCGTTATAACGAGGTTTCGTTATTTTTCATTAGTATTCTACTATTATTGGGGTAAAGATAACCGTTTGTTATCTCGAGGACTTCGTTTTGTAGTAGTTCCTTGAATTGCGGTTCCACTGTATTATGCATAGGGTCTGTAAGACGAACTGAAAGATATAGAAATTACAGATGAAAGTTGCAGCACGGTCATTGCTTTAAAAGTATGTCGATGTTCGCCAGTAAAATTCGATGACATTGCTATGGAGTTTTAGTTTTCCTAAGCCAACCGCGCGACTCCAGCAAAAGAGAAAGGGAAACAGGTCGTCTTGCACTTTGATCCGTCACTCTGCGTTCCTACCTTGACTACAAAGAATGTAAATGTTAGGATCTTAGGAAAGGCTCGGTTTTAGGCTTATATGGTTTGGGGATATAGCTTCCTGTTCGGTAATACGTACGTGCGTCCCCGCAAGTGGTCGAAAATTCAAAGTACCTAAGTCAAAATAGAAAAATATACGGAATAAAAATATTAAACAAAAAGGAAAAAAGGAAAAGTTCCTAAAAAAAAAAAGGGGCAACGCCTATTTAACGCTGCTTTACCTTTGAATTCCCTAGGAAGCCTTTCCGCGATAGCACTCAAAGCTTTGTGATGTGAATGAACGCTTGGATGGCTTGCCATCTCGCGAGTCGTTGCTAAGTGATAACAAGCAACAGTTCTAAATCTTTCGAAAGCCTAAGCAGTTAAACGACTGTTTAACTGTGACAATAGACGGATCGAAATGCACCGATGACATTACGAGTCTTCATAGCCAATAACATCACGGCTTAACTGACATACGACCGATAAGATCAAGACTTAATTGACCAATCAGGTCAATATCCCGAGTTTAATACCTACAACTGACGTGATACAACTCACTTTGACTGTGAAGATGACACCGCACAGGTTGTCGCAACCTCTGTCACTATCAACAACAACAACAACAACAGTCCTGTTCAGGACTTCGTTCACCCGGACGATCATCCATGTACTCAACCTTTAACTTATAAAATAACTCCTGGGTCATCGGATACGATAAAGAGATGATGTTTCTGGCCGTGATGTTTCAACTTTGAATAATCAATACTATATACAAAGCTCGCAACCCAAGCGACCCAAAGAATCCCTCTCGCAATTTTCTTTATCCATTTTTCTCTTTATTTGCGCTGGACATTATATATTTTACATTTTTTTTCTATAATAGTGTGCGGACAAACGTGCCTTAAATAGTACTCGTAATCGATAGTAAAGGTGCCAGACTTTATCAGTGTTTTAAATAAACTACAGTATAGTTACCATGGTGCAATATAGTCAATTCTACTTTATATTCACTTCGCTATCGCCCTTAAACATTTTGAAGTGTTATATAGCTGGAAATTTGTTTCTTATAGCTCACACTCTCATTGGGTACTTCGAGGTCACATTGCATCTAACAATGAATTAAACTGTTTCCCGCCCAAATCTCTGAGCGGGCAACGTTGCAAAATCTATGACGTCACGGGTTAACAGTGCACTGTTACTCGCGAATAGGGAACTTAAGATAGAGACGTTTTCGGGGCGACGGCAACTTCAACCGGACGTGACATCATCATTTGTTGGATATTGCGCATGCTCGTGCTCACCACCTTGCCGTCGTGGTACCGTCGGCGACGTGAAACTGGTCTGTTTGGCGTTGTGGCGAAAACGTGAGTATTTAACTTTCATTTCAATCAGGTTTGTTGCGTTTAGCAACCAACATTTTGCAGATTATGGTCCTTAAATTGTCCTTGTTTTCTTTGAGGCACATTTCAAGCTCGATTTCCAAGCTCTGTTATCTAAACTTACATCTTTCACTGATCTTTGAATGTTTCTGTGTTTTCATGTCACAGGGTCAAGATCCAACTTGGCAAACAGCCAACCGTAAGTGAGCTTGACACGGACAAAATTTTCCCACGAGCCAAATAAAAGTATCCAGACAAAAAATATGAACTCAGATATTTCAATTGTGTGTTTTTAGTTCGCTCTTTTCGTTAGAATATCGTATAAATGAAACGCATTGAAAATTATATGGAATAGTAGGTAATACCATGTACTAACTCGGCGTGGGAATACTGAAATAAAGTTGTTGCCGTTGTTGTTGTTGTTGCATGCAAGTATTTCCCGGGAATTATTTCAATACTAAACTAAGAATACGGTTCCTTGGTAGCATTTTAATGTTCCTGTAATTTGCAAGGCTTCGGCAAGCCTGTGGAGATCATTTTTTTTTCAACACGAAATTCTGCCTTGAACTCAGCTGCATCCCGCATGTTTTTTAGCGTGAACGGATCGTAACTGTCCCGAGGAAAATCGGGATTTTTGGACTCATAATTTTCCCACAAAACGAGAAACTCTTCAGCCGATACATGTTGTCTGCATAGCAAATATTTATTCTCTTAATTCTTTATGTGAAGACATATTTTCCTCTTCGGTATTCTTCTAATTAAAGGCGCCGTCCTTCTGAGTTCACTGCGATCTTAATGTTCTATTTTTGACGGGAAGCGACGGCTGCCTTAGTTCCAGGCTTTCTCTACCAGTCCGGTCGCCGTCGCCCCGAAAACGTCTCCATCTTAAGTTCCCTATTTTTGACGGGAAGCGACGGCTGCCTTAGTTCCAGGCTTTCTCTACCAGTCCGGTCGCCGTCGCCCCGAAAACGTCTCCATCTTAAGTTCGCTAATGTTGACCGACGACTGCTGTTACAGCGAGGTTTAAAGAATGTTTTCCAGCTTCAAAATTTTCAGCCATATAACAGATCACTTAAAAACTGTTCCCTCGAGAAACAGTAAATTTTGCTTTCCTCGGGAACAGTTATTAAGTGTTTAATATTGTTGTATGATGCCAAAAATCACTAGAATTCATAAACTATAACAAAAGGTATTGGATGAAGATCAATAACACCCCACATCCGGTAGTAACTCTACTGCATCGTACGCAGGCTTTTTTCAAGGTTCCGCATAGCGCAGTCATGGGCCCGAGTGGAGAATAATGGGAACGAGCAATAGCAAGGGGTAATGGGAAGCCAAACCATTTTTTTTTCTTCCCTTTCCCTTTCCTCCTTTGTCTCGCTTTACTTGATAATCAAATAACTATCGCGAGCGACTGCTATCAAAAATTATAATATTTCTAAACAATTTAAGTTAATTAAGGAGTTTCGATGCAGTTTTCAGGACATCATACCGATATTTTTCAATCGCCTTAACAGTTGTTTAATATCCTTGTCCTTCCCCAGTGATTGACTATGAAATGGAGTTTGTCAAAATGCAGGTTCAAGTATAATCGATATCACTATGACGACAATTAACAAAAAAGTCTGAAATCTATAAAGGCCGAATTTTGAGTGATCTAGACCTGCTACTGAAAATCCGACACAAGGAACGTAAGGTTTGATGTTTAGCGAATAGCCTGCGTGAGAAATGAAACAATTGTGTACGTTTGAATTCAAATAAAAGTTAGCATATCTCAACCAAATACATTTCAAACCAATCTTTTAATATCGCTGATAGGTTATTTAATTAAAAAGTTCTAAATAACTCAAATTAATCTTAAGTAGAATTCGCTGCTTAGAAACTTTGGTGTATTTTCTTTCTTACAATCCTGAAAACTAACCTGTTTTCTTAGTGCATTTCAGTGTGAATAAAGCTGCATCGAAACACATTAAGTGGTGAAAATGCAAAATGACATCAGATGAATATCTGATGTCATGGAATAAATACTGTGGCAAGTTATGTTGGATAATTATCATAAAAGTACAAAATGTTTGGATAATATAAATGGGCTAAATATATCGCAATTAACGTTGCTTACGTACAGGAATTAATAATTGTATTTAAATATGTGCTAAACTATATATCAAAAATCTAGTAACTACACCTAAGTCAATGACAAACGCTAGCAGGGAAAATTCTATCCTGAGATTTCAACCCTTTGCGTTACGTCTGCAAATACAGATGTAGAGTGAGAGTTGACAAGAAGGCAATACAAAACCTACCCTCAAAACGTGGGGCGGGAACGCGCGACGAGCCCTCATAAACCATCCTATGCCCCTTGTTGAAGAGGCTTGACTATTGCACTTTGTAGGCTTATCTTTTTAAAGTAG